ATTTTAATACTTTATCTTTTATATTTGTTTTCTTTCAGTTTAGCAATCCCCCTGTAAGAGTCTACCTAGAAATTCTTTGTCCTAAAAAACCCCCCACAAACCCCTTTGTCTTTGATAAAATTGTAGTCAAGTGTTAGAAAATAAGACCATACTTTTATTGCATCCTGTATTATTTATTGGAAAACTTCTGGTGATTTTCTCCTTATTTTGAAGTTTTCAAGAAGAAAATCCCCCAAATTATTTTCTCTGTTTGTGTTAAGCCTATAGATAGTCTTTGTGTCTTCCCCCATCCTCACCAAAATTCACATGTTGAAATCTAATTCCCAATGTAATGTTATTGGGAGGAGGGGCCTTTGGAAGGTGATTAGGTCATGCATGGAGCCCTCATGAATGGGATTTAGCGCCCTTATGAAAGAGACTTCATAGAACTCCTTTGTCCCCTTCTGCCACATAAGGACACAGAGATTTAAATCAGGAAGCCAGGGCTCACCAGATACTGATCCTGCTGACCCCTTAATTTTGGACTTCCCAGTCTGTAGAATTGTGAGGCATAAATGTTTATTGTTTAAGCCACCCAGTCTGTGGAATTTTGTTACAGCAGCCCCAAGAGGCCAAGACATCAATAGAGCACTATTTTTGTTTTTTGCATTTGGAGTTTGGCCACCTACTGTTACCCTATAGTATTGGTACAGTTTTTAAAATCTCCACCTCATCTTTAATGACTGGAGACCTTTGTTGTGGTGTCACAGTGCAGAGGTTACATACTGCCTTCCTGCGTAGTCTGTCAGCTGTTGTATTTTTGTTCTGAAAAGTGGGAATGTACCAGATAACCAGGAGTCTACTTCTTTCACCTACTCTTGGCTCTTCCTCCAAAGTGGACTTCTTTTTGGGTCTTTTCTCCTTTTATTGTAGATACATTTTTGGGGGGGTTCATTTACTCTAATCTTTGTATATTTGCATGTGTTTCCTCATTTTTTTCATTTTCAGATTTGTGAAGCTTTATAAAAACTTTCTTTCTCTGTTTTCTGACCTTCATTTCTACTGACTTCTTTTCTTTTGTTAATCCTCACCCAAGGATATTTTTTTCTATTGATTTTTAGAAAGAGTAGAAGGGAGGGGGAGAGATACACAGAGAGAAACATCGATGTGAAAGAGACACAGCAATTGATTGCCTCCTGCACGTGCCCTGACTGGGGCCAGTGATGAAGCCTGCTACCAAGGTATGTGCCCTTGCTGGAATCAAACCTGGCACTCTTCAGTCCGCAGGCTGATGCTCTAGCCACTGCGCCAAATCAGCCCGGGCTTCTTATTTCTTTATCTTGGTTTTATCTACCATCGTAAGAATAAACCATAAATAGAAAATATTGGTCGTGGCTGATTGTGGAGGAGCTTTATTGCACGGGGAAATTTGGTTTATAAGCTCTACAGGACACTCCAAATCCACCCTGAGATCCTTGGAGCTTTTGCCAGCTCCCAGATCCCTGGTCAGTAAACCTTGCCAATGTGAAATGGAAGGGAGTCACACTTTTGTGTTTTATGTTGCCCTTAGGATAATGAGAGCTAGTGTGTTGCGACTTTTATGTTATTGAAATAAAAAGCCCTCAAACTCAAAACTCTTGGGCTGTAAGATGATCGTGCCTTTATCATCACCCCTGTGTACCGGTGCCTGTGGGACCTGACCACTAGTTAATAAAGAGGGCGCTGTGTTTTTCTTTTTCCTAAGAAGTCCTTGCTTGTTGTGACATGAGCCTAGCTAGCATCTAGCTTTTGCACACTTTGAATTTCATATTTTCATGGAAGAAATCTCCCAACTCACACGGACTGTCTTTTAACCAAATAAACCCAATTTCCAAAGCCATTGCTTCCAATTTCCTTTTGCTTGTTTTGCTTTTCTAAAAAGCATTTGTGTAATGAAACACAATAAAAACCAATGTCTGTGCCTCTTTTTATGTATTTTTAGTTGCATTTATTGGGATGGCATTGGTTAGTAAAATTATATAGGTTTCAAGTGTACAACTCTTATAATACATCATCTGTATATTGTATTGTGTTCACGACCCAAAGTCAAGTTTCTTTCCATCACCATTTATCCCCCTTTTACCCTGTGCCTCTTTTTAAATTGGCATTTGCTTTTAGTAAGTTGATTTATCTGGGCTCTCAGTTATGTTTTTCATAGCCCTAATAGGAGCTTCCTAATAGCTCTTTCACTCTATCAGGTAAAAAGTACATATCAAAGTTCAATGACCCCAAAGGAACTTGCATTAACTAATGCAGCCAGAGAGGGAAATGGAAATAATCAACAGAAGCATGAAGAGAAGCCATTAGGACGAGATAGATTGATTGTATTTACTCCCAGGTTTCTTATTCTACACTCTCTCTCCTGCTCTCTCAAACCCAGGCATAGTTAGGGCAAATGCATTACCTTTTTAAACAAATATTTTTATTGATTTCAGAGAAGAAGGGAGAGGGAGAGAGAGATAGAAACATCAATGATGAGAGAGAATCATTGATCGGTTGCATCCTGCACGCCTCCTACTGGGGATCAAGCCTACAACCCTGGCATGTGCCCTGACAGGAATGGAACTGTGACCTCCTGGTTCATAGGTTGACACTCAGCCACTGAGCCATGTTGGCTGGGCACAAATACATTACTTTTATTTCCTGGTATTTGACAATAACAAAAGGTTCCTTTAAGGTCAAACTTGAGCAATTGAGTAGGCATGAATATTCTTGATTTTTAAAAGCCAATATTAGAGAATACTGTTAAACAACATTCTTGAATTGTTAGTACTGATGGGCTCTAACTGGGATTAGGTACAAACTAAGCATAAACATATTACAGCATCTGAGATAGTATATTTAATGTTGTGTTTTTTTTAACTGTCCTTTCCTGTTTTTCCCCCAAAATATTTTGAGATGGTTGTACTTAACTCTGTACATAAAAATTTAAAGGACATAATTAAATAGTGTAACAAAGGTTTAAAAGTTTAATTTTTATTTTAAGTAAGCTCACAGTGTTATTTATTTAACCTTACTTAGTATTTACAAGTACATTAAAATAATAATTAATGAAATGACTTGTGTAATGGATAAAAACCTCTTCAGAAGTGCCAATCTGGAATATGCAGTTGGAATTATTGACTAATATATTTAACTGGAAATGCCCTAAGTATCCAGAGTCATTTCTTTAATTGGGCAAAGGGCAGATGTCCAGGGCCATCGCTGCTCTAGGAGGGCAATGGTTTTTGTTGGTCCTGGCATGCCTCGAAAATAGTGAATAGTGATGACTGTTAACATTTGTGGAAGTTTACTAAGTAACAGGCAATGCAGTAAGCCCTGTGCACACATGAACTCACTTAGTAAATATTTGCTGAGAGTCAAGTGAATAAATGGTCAATGTGTCCAGCTTCCAACACACAAAAAAGGCTCTTTGACTCAACTAATTAGGTGGCCTAAATATTTATGGGGATTTCATTATTTTTCCTCATGAGTGAATTTAACAATATCTTTGACATCTCTTGACATTAAATATTTAAATTGAGTTGATAATGTTAAAAAGTGCTATTTTCTGAAGTATTTGAAGTTGTTTAATGTTTTAATAACTTTATAATGTACTACAAATCCAAACAAATATCTTGGCAATTTCTCTTAGATGCCACATCTAGACATTAAATCAGGACAATTTTGTAACAACACTATAATATGAATTAATTCAAGAACTATTTTTAAAAATCCCCATTCAATTTAATGTCATTATCATCAGGAGAACAAGTTAATGTTTTGTAATTTTCTGATGATTAAATTTCTTTAAAGTTTGATATTCTCATATGTCATTAGAATCAATGTACCACTTATAAAACATTAATTATTCATAACACCCAAGAATTACATCTGCTTTATTCTTTTATTATAAACACTGACCTGAATAATCAACCCATAATAATTACTTTATCTACTCAACCAGATTGAACAAAAATGGGAACCTGTTACGGATTTTTATAACACATGTATTCCATAAGTTTTACTAATGTATCATACAATTAATTCAAAACATAGTGAAGGGCATGTTACTAAAATGCCCTCATGTAAAGCCCATATTTCTGCTTACCAATACTGAAAAGCACTCCCAGAGAAACACACAAGCATATGTCTACTGATTTTGTGGGGTTTTATCTAGCTTCTCTGTTGATTTCTCTAGAATTCAGTGTTCTTCAAAGCAGAAACTATGTCTTTTGAATGTCATGATTAGTGGTGAGAACAGCACAAATTAAGTAAATACTATTATGATGGTGTTCTTTTTAATATAGTGGCACAATGTTTATGACATTCTTTCAGTGTTTGGTTTCTCATGCTCTTGCAACAGCTTCAGTTGACTGATTTAGTCTTGACTTACAGCAAAATAAAATGGAAAATTCACATATTCTAAGTAAAGGTTTATTTTAATGGTGTAGACTTACTACTGCTAAACAAGCATATGCTGCTAAACATACGCTGTGCTTATCATCTTTGTAAAGGTAACATTCAGCTGTATGTCTTGAAATATGCAGAGCATCCTCTTATGTGTGAAGTATACAGTGTAAACATTTATACTCTGTCATTGGTTTGACAATCCAATTAAATTTCTTTAAATATCTTTTAAAGAAAAAAAAATCTAAGAGGATCACATGGCCAAGTGAAAATATAATATTGTTAAGAGGTTACGGGAAATTCTTTTATTTTGTATTTGTGTTATTTTAATATAGCAACTGCAATGGAGTTATAGAAATATTTCTAATATAGTTAACTGCATGTTTAACTGATTCCCAATATGTGTCCTTAATTGATGAATTTATACTAACCTAGAGATTGCTTATAACATCACTACCCAAATGTCACATTGTACTGAAAAATGGCATTTTGTTTCAGAAGATGCTAGCAGAGCATGAAGTCACTTGAGGGGGTGGGAAGGGGTTTTGAGATTTGCTTTAAGGAACCTGTGTGTGTGTGTATTTAATGCGCAGCACCTGTTCTTCCTGGAGCCTACCAGCAGAGCCATTCCCAAGGCTACGGGTACATGCACCAGACCAGCCTGTCGTCCATGAGGTCAATGCAGCATTCACCAAATCTAGTAAGTGTGGGTTTGAAGTGTTTCTTTTTGCCCAGTGTTCCTGTTTCATCTCCAAAATATAAATATGCATGGAAAAATGATTTTTATTTATTTTGTATTTTAACATCATATATTAACATATAGTTGATATACAATATTGTATTCGTTTCAGGTGTACAACATAGTGATTTGTCATTTACTTACTTTACGTTGTGATCACCACACAGTAGGTCTAGTAAGCATCCATCACTATACAAAGTTACTGTGGTATTATTGACTAGCTTCCCTGTGCTGTACATTATGTCTCCATGACTTCCTTGTTTTATAACTGGAAGTTTGTGCCTCTCATCCCCCTTCACCTTTTTCACTCACTCCCCCCACCCTTCTTCCCCTCTGGCACCATCAGTTTGCTCCCTGTATCTATGAGGCTGTTTTGTTTTGTTTGTTTGTTTGTTTTTGTTTTTTGGGTTTTTTTATTCCACATATAAGCAAAATTATACAGTATTTATCTTTTTCATGTCTGACATTTTCACTTAACATAATATCCTCTAAGCCATTTGTTATTGCAAATGGCAAAATTTCATTCTTTTTATGGCTGAGTAATATTCCATTGTATATATGTACCACTTCTTTATCTGTTTGTCTGTCAATGGGCATGTACATTTCCAAATAAAAGATGATGTGCTGTCATTGGTACAACACTTTTGAAGGAAGCAAAAGACTTATAGAGATAAACTATTGAGAAGAGAAGGTATGATGTGGAAACATGTAAACAATGAAACACAAAGATTCTACTAATGCAATACCCTAATTGTTATTTTATTATTGGTGTTAGCCAGTTATGATCTTCATTCATATCTGTAAAGCATAAGTATTTGGTCATACTAATTAATCTGGGCATTAATCAAAATGGCCACTAAAACCTAAATGACAGGGCCAACATGTCTTTGAATCCTCCCACTGGAAACATTGAAGCATTAATTCATTAATTAAATGTCAAGTTTGGAAGCGCTGTTCAGGTCATGTTGGTGTCAAATGTGACATCTCATGCTGAAATTGCTTCTCCAAGCAACTGACACAGTCACTTGGCCCTTTGAGAACTTAGAAACAGGTGCCCCTCCAATCCCCGCAGTTGGAAATTTATCTTTAGTTGTTCTCAAATTCTTTGTGCCTCAGTCAGTTTCCTCAGTGTATGAATTCATTTGATTTTGGGATCATCTGGTGTTAATATTAACTAAACTCTTGGCCTTAAATGAAAGCAAGTATGGTAAAACTCAATTTATATTTTGAATATTAATCACTTATCAGAGATATTATTTATAAATATTTTATCCCATTCAGTAAGTTGCCTATTCATTTTAATGCTGGTTTATTTGCTGTGCAGAAGCTTTTTAGTTTGATGTAGTCCCATTCATTTTTGCTTCTGTTGCCTTTGCTTTTGGTGTCAAATAGAAAAATCATCGCCAAGACCAACATTTTTTTTAGGAATTTTATTATTTCATTTCTTACATTCGTATCTTTAATCCATTGTGAGTTAATTTTTTGTGTAGTGTGTAAAATAGTGGTCCAGTTTTATTCTTTTGCATGTGGCTGTCCAGTGTTCCCAACACCTTTTATTGAAGACATTGTCCTTTCCGCATTGTATATTCATGGGTCCTTTATCATAAATTAATTGACCGTATATGTATAGGTTTATTTCTGAGCTCTCTATTCTATTCCATTGATTTATGCCAATACTATACTGTATTGATGATATAGTTTTATAACATAGTTTGAAGTGAGGAAGTAAACATTTTCCTCATTATAATAAAGATTTAGTTATATGTACCCTAATATTTAGAACATGTATATGCTAAATTTCTACCAAAAGCCAAAAAATTTCTACAAAAGCCAAAAAATTAGAATATTATTGATTTTTTTCTTCTATTTGTTTTGTATATTTTTAAGAGGAAACAAACATTTTAAATACTTGCTTAAGAAAAGTTTATTCCTCTGCCAGGGGCCAGTTGTTGTGACTTGGCAGTGACATGGATCTGCCTGCCACTATGGCAGGTTTTATTTTCTGAAGACTGTGGACTAGGGGAGAATCTATGTCACCTGATGTCTCTGAGGTTAGCCGAACCTGGGGGGAGTTGGGCTTCACTACTTTAAAGCTTACTTTTTGACAGGCTAGCAATTGTATTTAGTGGCTTGCTCTATCCCCGTTCTGGCTCCCAAATGTTAGCTTTTTGCTAGCCTAGTAAACTTGAGATGAGCAGTTAGGACACTAGGCTCTGGTGTACAACTCTCCAGAAATAAGTGTACTTGGAAACATTCCTAACAACAGTTGCTTTATGAGTGGTCTGGTTGGTTGGGATTGGCATTTGTGGCCATGACTATATTGGTATTTATAGTGACCCCGTCTTTCTTTTCTCAGAGGACCTACCGAGCCATGTACGATTACAGTGCCCAGGATGAAGATGAAGTCTCCTTCAGGGACGGCGACTACATTGTCAACGTGCAGCCCATCGATGACGGCTGGATGTACGGCACGGTGCAGAGAACTGGGAAAACCGGGATGCTCCCAGCAAATTACATTGAGTTTGTGAATTAATCATTTCCCCATGCCCTTTGAGCTTTACTCTAATGTATACTAAACCTAGTCTTTTTAAAAGATAGAAGACACTTTTAAGACAACTTGGCAGTTATTTTACAGTAATTTACCCTTCCTTTGACAATTAGACACACAGGTACCAGGAAGAAGGAATGATTTCTGGGCTGAGAACAGCAGCATTTTCAGTAGTTCCTGTAAACAAAACAATTAGGTCTGGAGACCTGGTGCTGCTAATTGTATTACTGGTGTGTGGTTTTTTTTTTGTTTTTTTTTTTTTGATTGGCTACTGAACCCTTCTGGGGAGATGTATTTTTGTAGACTTTAATAGAGATGTTGATTGTCTTGTAAATGTAACACGTATATGAGACTTCTTAGCTGTCACTTTGGAATCACCAGAAGCCAATTCTCTTAATTCAGCAACACAGCCAATAATTTAAAAACCGTGTAGCTTTGGAGTCATTAGGCAATTTCCAATTCCAGTGAAAATCATCTAGTATAATAAAGTAAGCAATGGCAAAATGACAGTTTTGTTAAAATTATATTGAGTGGTGGCCTTAGGGACCTAGAAACTTCTACTGAACAAAGAAATTTTTTGTTTCCTTGGCCAACTTGGGTCTATTTATTTCTTATTTGTACCGACATATCCTACTCTCCACTTACATTCTATGGACCCACACGTATGCTTGGCTCCACAGAATGTCAGGACCAAATAACTTCATAGCTATTCTGCAAGGGGCAGATTTAAGGCCATCTATATGATTTCCCTAATAGCCTTTACCCTGTTGCATGACATGTAGGTTCAAGCTTCTGTAACATAGGCAGCTGCACTGCCCATTACTCCTACTAGATCTAAAAGTGTGGCTGATATCTCAAAGCCTTTCCTCTAGTAGTCAGCTCATCAGAAAAACATAATTTGAAAAGTTGCTTGAGATTCTCCTGCTGCATTGCACTCTAGTTTTGAAGGATGTACACTTTAGGAAATAGATGTATACTCTAGTAAATAAGTGATTTAGGTGTTTATTGAACAGCTTTCATTAACTTAATGCCGCTGCTGATTTAAAAGTTAAGAAAACTTAACAGGAGCCAGTGACAAAGTGGGATAGGAAGTGTGCTAGACAACAGCAGTGAACAAAAAGTGACCGACCCAATCTACAGAGAGAGAGAGAGAGAGAGGGAGAGAGAGAGAGAGAGAGAGAGAGAGAGAGAGAGAGAGAGAGAGACAGAGAGACAGAGAGAGAGAATCTGGTTTCTTGTTTTGGAAAAGGTATTCAAATTCTGGAATGGAATTATAGCCACTGAAACCAGTAAAACAAAAGACTTTCTTGTCACTTTCTGCTTTTTACTTTCTAAATCACATTCAGGGGGCGGTATAGGAATGTCATCAGAGATTGTAGGTCCAGGCACAGGCTGTTCACTGAAAATGGAATTGTTGTCAGATTTTGATTTTTCAAATGAGTGACCTTGCAGTTTCTTTCTGGATTCGCAGCCATGACTGCAGCCTTTGCTGGTGGGTTGTGACTTTCACCTGAGTCCACAGTCAAGATCACCTGAGATTAACATCCATCAGCAACTGTGTTTTTCTGATTGTGTCGTTTATTGGGACCTGCAACAGGGTAGCATTCATGTAGGATCTGACTCTATAGTTGAGGTGGAGCTGAAAAAGCTGTCTCAAAAATGTAATAAAATGTATGGGTTGGGGATATCTCCTTATACCTTTTAATCAAAGAAACTAACAAAATATATTTTATTGAAATGTTTATCAGTCCAAAGGCAAACATTAATTTATTAACACCTTTGAGAGCTTAGCAAATACTTTTGAAAATCTGTAGTTTCATTTTAGCTAGCTAAAAGGGTAAAGAGAATAAAATTTATTGCACGCAAGCTTCATCTGCATGACACCGACATAAAATTGAAGAGAGACAAAATTCAGGCAAATAACTAGAGACTTTTTTTGAGTGAGCTTTACAGAATAGGCAGTTTGACTGATTTCCTATCATTGAAATGACCGGTCATGATTAGATTGATTAAACCCCATATCAGTTTTGATGTCCTGTACACAAACCTACAAACACAAACTTAATTTGCAATATTCTTGCAAAAATTTATGTGCATTAAAAGTGAGGGAAATGGGCTTGCTCAGTTTTATTATACCATTAAGTAAATATTTACATTTCACCCAGACTTCTTTTCACGATTATAAAAAAGGAGTCGTTGTGGATTAAATTTTGCAGACTAAATGTAGGACAGGTACAATTTTTGATAAATAGCACATTTATAGGGAACTCAAAGAAAACTGACTTAAAATGATAAGGATAATGGGGAAAAGTTACCATAAAGTAGCAGCTTGATATTTCATTGTTTTTCTCATCCCCGGATTTCAAAATCGGGTTCATTGAATGTAAAAGTCAATACTTACTTGGGGAATAATTCTCCTAAATTGTAAGCTTTACATAATGTTTGCATAGTAAGATGTTTCTGCTTCCAGCCTTTAGGAATTCAGATCTGATCAGAATTTAACGAGAGGGAGGTTATTTTACAGTAAAGACGGAGGGAGAACAAGATGTCCCGAGCTTCTGACACTCTCCCTTGATAGTGTTGTCACTGTCACTACAGCTTGTCAGGATATTAAGCATCTCATCAGAAATACAGGAATTATGTGTATTAATACCAAAGTGCTATTTTACAGAATCGTTTTCAAAGCTACATCGCTGAATAGCTTTTCCTCTTTCAACACGGTACCTGCCCAGCTTCAGTTTGGCAAGAGGTATCATACGTAACGCTGACAGCTAAGCAAGGGTCTAAGAAACGAGCCTTTTTACAAATCAAGTTACAGAAGACTGTGGGTGCCCAAGCACCGAGAGCACGCGCCTGCTTTCCTAAGCCCGTGTCCTCCAGCCTGACAAAAGCACAAGGAGCCAAGTGATAGACTTTTTCAAGTTTTTGGAAACAATGCTGTATGTGGATCACACCTCTCTGGAGAAAGGCAGTTTTTGTAGCAAGTGTTTTTATGAATTCTCAGTCTCCAAGGAAGCTTTCTATCTCTCACCTGTGGCAAAATGACTTCTTTCGTGTCTTCTTGTCATCTCACATTAGCATTTATCTGGTTGCCAGATGCCGCTGCATCTTCTCAGACCTCCCCCCACCTCCAGACACCACCCAGAAATATGCAAGCACAATTTCCAAGAGCGCCTTGTGTGAAGAGGGATGAGACCAGACCAGCCCCTCCCTTGCCACTAGAGTCATTGCTTGAAGATGGGAAAGATGCGGTTTTGCCCGTTTTGCCACAGTCTTTTTTTCCTTATCGTCTCTGTGTTGAGCTCTATAACACTCTGGGGGTTGGGAAGCCAACGTTTCTAAAACAGTGAAAGTTGAAGAGGTGTATTTTTTTTTTTAATTTGTTCAACTCCAGTGGAATGTTTTTAACGAAAAGACAGAGAAAATGTGTGTGATCCTTTAATAACACATCTCTATATAAAGTAGATATAGTTTATACCAAAATTATAATATAGATATATACAAAAATAGGTGCCTTTTTGATTACCCTTGTTTGTCCACTATTGTCTGGGAAAGAAAAGCAAGCTTCTGCTTATCCTATAGTAATATTTTATTACACATGATTGGTATTTTTGTGGTGGGGAAGTAAGACGCTCCTGACAGGTATGAAGGGTGGTAGCTGATTATTTTACTTCTAGAGGTTTAGGAATTAAGAAAATACTCTTTCCACCAATTTTTGAACGGTTCTTTGTAGATTTATATATAGTTAAGCTGCATAAACATTAATTTTAGGCTTGAGATATAAAATACCTATATTATGAGGCTGAATTCATTACACAAGATGAAATTCACTTCAAAAATTCATTATATCTTAGCTATTTGCTTCTGATCATCTAAAAGTGGCTGGAGTATGCTTGTTTTGGGTAACGTGACATGGTGCTGAGAAAGCTTTAGTTAAGGAAGAAGCTATGTAAACAAGTGATAAATGAAAGTCTCCTTCTCAAGTATTCCTTGCCCATTAGGTCCTTCCCAGGCCGCTGTCAACTATCGATGATCCAAAAACTCATGACATTGTATAATGCTTCTGTCGTCATCATTCCAGGATGCTTAGGCTCCTGGAGTCCACAAGCCTGGAAGGGCCCCCAGGGCAAATCTCATCCCCAGTTGTCCATGTTACTTTAGTGTATTCATGGAAATTCCATATGTTTTTGGTGTTAGATATATGGTATTCAGTTTGCATAGTGTATACTTCTTTGTAATCCAGTGCTATTAAGAATGCTTTACTTAAAGGAAAAAAAGAAATCTGCATTGTAGTCCCATTCTTCAGTGTCCACACAATGAATAGCTGAGCATCTTAGAAGCAGCAGCGAGTGTGTTACAGGCATGGTGTGGAACAGTTTGGCCTTTGGCTTGTGATAAAAGTGCAAAATTGAATCACTGTGCAGTTTGGCTTTTATTTACTTTAAAATGTGTAGAATTGTGGTTGATTAATTTGCAAGATTTTACTAACTTTGAGAGCTTACAGTTTTGAAGGAAACAATGTTTTTAAAATGAAGGGGCTCACAGAAGAAACAACCCAATGTTACTAATAGAATCTGGCTTTTGTTATGCAAGTTGTTAACACCAGCTATTAAAATATATTTTAGTAGAAATGCTTTAATTCATGTTTTTTTCCTCTACACTGTGAATCTTGAAGCCTCGGTGGACTAGAGCAACATCATGCTGCCCAAAGGGCTCACCTATGCAAACTAGTTCACATGTTAGTGGGTGTCACAGTAACCGGGTAATAAGGCATTACTTCCCCTGCATAATGTACAGCGGCATTGAAATAACACATTACGCCTAATATCATGTATGTACAGTGTAGTCACTCACAGACCCTTCAAGGCTACCAGAATCATTAGTAGTATTATTTGTTTAAAGGCAAATCACTGAATTATCTATTTGAACTACTGACCGATATGTAATAACAAGAATGACGGATGGATGTGTCAGCCATGGCTGCTGTGTGGTCACTGCAGGTGTCCTCCAGAGACAGAACTATGTTCTCAGATGCACTTTCTTCAGGGTATTATTTTCCTGTGTCTTCTTTCTGTATTTGTAAATCATTAGAATGCTTTAATTTCCTATCTACAACTTGGTTTGCTTAAATAAATGCGGGATATAAAAAATGGTTCCACTTCTTGGTTCTGACCTTGGTTTCTTGGAGCATGGGTGATTAAACTTTGGTTTCTTGGAGCATGGGTCATTGATAATACCCTAGGTTTTAGGTTTATTGTGACAATGAACATCAAATCTCATCAAAGGAATGTGTTGGCTTCAGTGCACTGCCATTGGTGAGTCATTCAAAATGAGTCTTCCTCTCCCAATAGGCTTAGTTTTAAATGATAGAAATATTATGCTTCTTAATGCTCAGTATCTTTCTGATTTTATATCAAAATATCACAATGGTACTTCATTGTGGTTCACTTCTTTCAAGATTAAATTCCTCATATGTCCTCAGTAATACAATTTTAATTTTCTTGAATTTGTCAGATGAAAGAAACAGTTTGGAGCAAAGAATAAAATAATGCACAAATTTAGTACATGAAACGAGAAGATGCTGTAATTTTTTTTAGCCAAGAATCACTCATAACCATAGAACATAATTGCTTTCCCCACCCTAATTTTCCCATAGTTGGAAAAAACGAGTTAGTCCCTATTTTTATCCTCATAAAATCTGTTGAGACTAGAACCTTACCTTTTGTATATTATTTTATAAAAGTTTTTTTTTGATGGTGCATTAGCTTTCTTAATTATAAACTGATAAACGTTGCAGCTGACACATTGAGGACACTTGCTGATAGAATAAACACTTCTTTCTAATCTTGCACTTTGTGGGTTTTTATATTCTAAAAGTATGAAATGAATATTTGTATGAATGATAGTAATCATCAAGCATACTGATGACATTTCAAATTACAAAGTAACTTATTTATTTATTTGAATAATTTACTATCTTTTCCTATCTCCAAGATTTTTCCCCCTTCCATGATAATAAACTTTCTTTTTGGAACCCAAGCCACAGATAAATAAATAACCCAGCAAGATATTTTTCTAAACTAAACTAATTTAGATTTAGAATATACCATGCTGATAATTTTATTAACTTAAAAATCTGTGAAGATAAGTAATTGAAGACATACATGATCACCAGAAGCCTACCAAAATAACTTTAAAATATATTCAGACTTAAAAACTAGATAAAAGGGAAGTTTTGTTCCCTTCTTTATGTAATTTGCTTCTCCTACACAGGGTTGAATAAGAGTTTTGTGATGGCAGAAAACCGGATATGGCCCAAGTGGGAACTTCATCTACTTTCTACAGTTCTGAACAAAATTCTCCGGCCCTTGTGTATTATATTTGTATTTGGGCACAGCAGAGTTCTGATGAAAAATAGGATGAAAAAATAGATTAAAAGGGTGAAAAGTCAATATTAGAACAGAGGGCCCAGTTACTGATTTTGTGTTTATACCATGGCATTTTGATCTTTGCCACTTTTCACTTTTCTTTTTTTAGTAGCAAACATGAAAGAGGATAATAGAGTAAAATAGAGAAAGCAAAATCTGAATTCCAGTTATTCCACTTGAAAAAATAAGGCACTTTGCTGCACCTCAAATTTATTTATTAAGTGGTTCTATCAGTGAACTAGTTTCTTGTTCTTGACCCTAGTTTCTTGTTATTTCCTTTTCCCAGAGGTTTGCTATCCAAGGCCATGAAGCCCAAATTAACTTTATTTTTCTTTGTCACCCCTCTGGTGACAGCTGGCTGGATCCAGGTGACTGATTTATAGACTTACCGGTGCCTTTGATGGGGGCTGCACAAGAACGTTGCCTAATAGGGATGATGGTGACTCAACCTGGTCTGAAGACCTGAGTTCACAAGACAGAGCAAGGTAGCTAACTGGTTGTATTAGTAAAAGCTGAAAGACAAAGGAAGAGAAGAAGGAAGTCAGGAGTAAGTATGATGTGAGTGAGCAGAAAGCATGAGTAAGAGCAAGCCGCGAGATGGGGCAATATATTTAGAATAGACGGAGTAAAAAGTAAAGTAGATGGTCAAAAGTGGCAGGAACCGCTACACACAGGAGGAAATGGATTCTTGTTATGGTGGCTCCTGTGTTAGGCAGCCCCGACGCCTGCTGCCCAGGGTGTGCCCACACTCCATGTCAGATGCAAAGCCGTCCTGCTGATGCTGTGAGGCCACCTCCTCTTGACAAGGAACACATTTCATGAATGATGGGAAGATCTGCATCCAAACAAAACAGTCAAATGTGATTGAAATGTCAATATATTATTACAGTTCAAATGTTCCAAAGATGTCTTAAGTTTCCTTTTATGATATATTATACTTTATATATCTTGTTGAAATCAACTTTAGTTAGAAATTGTTTCCCTGGGCCCTATCAAGAGTATACATAATTAATATCAAACAAATTTAACGTCAACCAGTATGAATGTAGAAAGGAAGGATTGAGGGTGGAGAGAAATCTTCTTATGATCTCTAAATGACTGGCAAAGAACAAGGCAGTGACTGGGGCCACCTTGCTCAGTCACATGGGCACTGGTATTCCCGGTATGAAAGCTGAGTTGTTTTTGCATAGTTTTCATAAATACCTATTTTTTCCAGGCTTACTCATTGATAGTTCTTGATTAAGGTGGATGAAGCAGTAACTGCTGTTAATTCATTGATCAAATATTTACTGTGTGTCTATGTGATTCAAGGAACAGAATATAGGAAATTTCCTCATAAAGTTTTAATATACTGATAGGGGGAGACGGATATTAAGCAATTAAGGATATGCATTCATACACTGTGTACACGTGTGTATACTTACACAAGGAATTGCTTAATTGCAGTTTAAGAGGTGTTCTGAAAGGGAAGCCTGGTGTGCCCCGAGTCCTTATAGCTGAGAAAGCAGTGAGCTGTGGACTTGGAGGAAGAGCATGGAAGACCTCTTTGAGGAGATGCTGTTTGAACTGAGCTCTGAAAGCTGCCCTAGGAGCAGCTTCTATCCATCTGAACGTTAGACACGTGGGGAAACTGAGTCACTGGCAGCTAGTAGTAGAAATAATCCTCTCCACTGCCAAATTTTAATTTAAGTAGTAAGGGCAGGTTTTCATATTTTTAATAAATCCTTTACAGATAAATATCAGATTATGCACATACACAAATGTATGTGTATGTACTACCCTTCTATTATGCTAATTATGACTTACTCCCCTGTGAAAAATTCAGCAGGTTTCAAAGAGTTCATTGTGTAAACAAAGTTTTACAGATGTGGAATACTTCACTTCCTTTTTTGGATAATTGGTTATTGCGTAGGCTTTCCTGTGTCCTTACTTCGTCCCTGAATATTTTTGGAAAGTATGCGCTCATGGGTGTTTATGCCATACAGTGTGTGGCAGAACTAAGTAACATTCTCCTTCTCCCGTTTTGGATTTAACACATTTGGGTGTTGTCAGCCCCATCTAAGAGGTATTTTGAGATAGATTTGCTACATTAACTGGACATCACGAAAACATTACTCACAATGCAGGAACATTGTTGGTAATTATTTATGATAAGTCTTTGCTCTGAGGTAAATAAAAGCTTTTTTAAAAAAGTACAATTCTAACAAGAAATTTGAACATCTGCCTCCTTTAAAAGTTTGACAGTATGTTTCGCACTTTATCTTGGCTACCCTTGTCCCATTTAAATTAATAATTGATAATATTTTGAATGTATTTGGGTCCCCTCATTGATGTCTAATAAAAAGCTTGTTATGGGAACACATTGATCTTTGCAGACATTTCCTGGCTGCGTGTATATCTTTCGAAAAAATGCTTTCACTTTCAAGATGATGCCACAAAAAGTGGTTTCCAAGCCTTCTTATATGCCTGCTTAGAAAGTGATCACTATAACTTTTATTGTGTTGCTTTTTTTTTTTTTTTAGAAAAAGGGTAGTGCTGATGAACCAACCATAGTATCACATTTTTATGGTTGACCCTTGAAAAGCATGGGGGTTATAGAATTTGTCAAATTTAATTTAATTATATTTATGCACAGATCGAAGAGTTGGATTATGATCGATTGGGATGGACGGGGAGTTATCAGCAGAAAGAAGCCCTAATCCCAAAGATCACCTTGTCAGGTGACCTGCAGAGCAGTAGTGTCATTGCAGGAAAGGGGAGGAAGGAGTTGAATCAAGGGCAGACACAAAGTTTCCAATGTCCCACTTGGATGAAAAACTCAGAAGTTTTAGTTTCAAGTGGAATTGGAGCTTTCAAAATTATTTCAGTATTGGGAAGCTGAATCTCTCTGTGTCGGCCTTGTTTATCTTTTCATGTCTTTGTGCTATAGCAATGTCACAACGCTGCACTCAGCTGTGTAGCTTAGGCCTTTTATTGGAAAGCTAGGTTCTGATGCATCTGGAAAATGCCAAACAGTGACTTCATGAGAGTGCAAGTTGGGATACATTCTTTGAATTTAGGATTATGTGATACCCCCGCCTTTATATGGATTTTTTTTTTTTTTGAAAGTCTGAGACCTTTTTGCAAATCTGAGGGGAGTGGAGATGAGTAGAGATTCTGTGTTCTGTTGAATGTGGGTCATCTTCACGTTTCTGAGGTG